GGAAGACATTTTGAATTGCTTACGACTTGTTTGAGGAAGCTGTTCCTTCTTCTTCTCGCATTTTTTAAAATTCAGTTTTTATTTATTTTAGTTTCGCAGAAAATGCGGGAGAAGCAGTGAAGCGAAATTTTGAAGTGGATGTCAGCATGGAAATTCTTCTCAGTTTGAGAGTCTTATTGTGAATCGTGTCTTGAGAGGATCTCTTTCGGCGAGGAAAACAACAATTTTTTTTCATTTCTGGTAATTTGTTCTTGACTTTCCGCATCAGCCTTTAAAAGCACTACAGAGATTTTTGTAAAAAAAAAAATCAGCTAAAAAACGTTTGAAAGCAATTGAGGAATGAAATCTGGGATGAGTCTTCATTCGCGTGTCTAGGTATTGGTTTTGAATAGGTGATATTTTAGTGAGCATGTGTTGGCATTCAAACTCATAATTTAAACAACTTTTTAATGTTCTAGACTTCTAGAGTAAGATCAATAATTAAACTTCAACAAATCAATAATGTTCAGAGGTGATTCTTCTAATCAAAATTAATACCGTATTGATTGTTCAGAAATAAATACATGATCAACATTTAAAATTTTTCTTGGCAGCTATACAGTATATAGTCGTCGGATACAAAAACGTGATGTTCGAAAAGCGATTTGCAGCTTTTTGCAGAAACGTTACGCTCGACTAACTCAAATTTTACATCATACAGTACTTCAAATCTTCAATTCTTCAGCGTCATTCGAACGTAGTTTGAGAGCTTTTGAGAAAAATCGGGAGCATTCGCTGAATGATGTGAAAAATTTGATGAGTTTATTCGGATATTATCTTCACGTTTCGGTTGGAATATTTTTTGAACATTGATACAGTACCTTTATTTTTCCTTCTAATTGGAAGCATCATTACATAGTCTCTTTAGCGTGAGTTTTCTGTGTACTGGTAATGATTAAATTTTCGCAAATATCGTCGTCGAAGGAGGTTTTCTGAAGAAGTTGCTGCGAAGGTGCGTTTTGAAAAGAATCTCATCATCGGAAAATATTTGCGTGGTATAGGATCAAAGGTCTATGATGAACAAATCAAATTTTTCAAGATACTGTACTTCCTCTTTCAAAAATACTCTTTCAAACGCAGTTCAGAGGAGCTCAAAAATCCGTTTAATACTGATGAGAGGAATCCCATTCGATCAGGGATAAGGGAATTAGTCTTGAAATTTGCAAACGCAACTTCGACATTCTGCCGTGAATATTCTTTCTGCGATCGATGCATGATCTGAAATTTCACAGGATGATTACTAAAAACAGCGAGATGAGAATAAGAATCTGCTGTTTTAAAATGACTTATTTTATGAAAAGCTGCTATAGTATCTTTATCACCATCCGACAGTCTGCAAACTTTCCGAGAATTAAAAACTAAAACCATTTCGTGTTTGGTCCTGCCTTTACAATTTTTTGCACCATCTTCCATAAGTCATGAATATTTACAGAAATTCATGACCGATCTCCGAAGTTTTTTTTTTTTTTTGGAGATGGATGGGATCAGCTCTTGAAGCAAGTGACTTGTGCTTCCCGTTTCACTATAGTGAGCACATATTCTACAGTGAACATCATTTACAAATTAATTTCGAACGGATTTTCCGTTCCTTTGTCACATGTGCCTGAGGTCACAGGAAAAAGAGCGCGAAAAAAAAACGTGGGACGATGCTGTATTTGCATTTCAATTTATTTCCTAGAGTTCCTGCATACACAGGTTCTTCTTATCCTACGGAATTGTTTATACAAGGCCCTTTGTCATCACTGCAGAATCCTGCCGGTGGGATTCAATTTCCCCAACCCTAACGTGTGTCGCATAACTGAATCTGGGAGTCAAACCTGCTGCTTATTACACAATCATCAATGGCCAGGAATTTAACCGGACAGATGGATGAACAGATGTGTCTATAGTTCCTTTGTTGTTTTTTGTTCAAAATAAAATAATTCCCTGCCAAATTTTCATAGACTCCTTGAGTAGTGGTTAGCAAACTAATATGAATGAGTATTTTTGAAAGAGGAAGTACAGTATCTTGAAAAATTTGATTTGTTCATCATAGACCTTTGATCCTATACCACGCAAATATTTTCCGATTTGATGAATGAAAAGAATGCTTTATTTGCCGCTTTTCAGCATTCACAAGGTTCAATCAAGATTTCCACATCCAAACCCCTTCCCCACCCAACCCAAATCCACTCAAAGACATTTAATCACTTCAGCTCAGGAAACAGCACAAATGGATGAAAAATTGGAAGGAAATACAATACACAAAATACAACTGGATATCTGACATTTATGCACACACCCATCCCTTCCCTGACATCAAAAACAAAATATCAGTTACAATTTATCTAAAGCACAAGGTCTTCAGCTTGTTTCTGTATGAGGTTCAGTTGAATGAACAATTTAGAGAGACTCTTTGATGAGAAATCATACAAGGCCAACAGTTCATCTTTATCATTTAAGATTTCAGAAAGGGTCTTGTCATTGAATTGCAATACTTGTGAATCTTTCTTGAGCTCATTTCTATCATTATGAAATGCTAGACATAAGAAGAGAAGGTGCTCTGGTGATGCACAAACAAATGTATTTATGCTGCAGGAGTTACACCCCTTAGACACCTTTGAAAATTGGTGTCTAACTAAAAAGAAAGCCATTTTCTGTAGTATTCATGATTGGCGGCTTGGGCATCTGAGATTAACTTGAGAACACTCAGAAGATAATACAGTACACGGTTTTGTTCCTTCAATGAATATTATGGTTAAAAACAAATTTCAGTTTAAAATACACCACTGTTTTATACGGAATAGTGTTGTAAATTGAGGAAATCGAGAATGACTTGATTACCAACAAAACGTGTCAATAAGAATATTCTGAAATAGTTGAAATTTTTATAAATGGGATCCACGTAAGATCTGTGCTATTTTGGGAGAAATCAAGCACATTCTTCGATGAAAATTGATTATTCCTAGTTTTCAAACAAAGCATTGGCCAATTTTGGATCATTCAAAAAGTACTTTACGACGTCGGAAAATTTAAAAGTGTTTTGTTCGAAAATATACTTGAAAGCCATTTAGGTCAGGGTCCTTTAAAATTGTACTGTAGCATCAATTTATATTTCTAAACATTCTTCGCTTTCTTCGAAGACATTTAAAACAATTGATGCACTTTTCGGTACCCTCCCAAAGTCCCAAGCATGTCGATTCGAGGCGGGGTTTGCAATGATTTAGCCCATATAAAACCCCCACGAATCCTTCCCCGAATGAATCGCTATTCTTGGAAGACGCTTTTACGGGGGGAATTATTTATAATTGTGATCCGATTCCATTCGTGACCTTTGGTAGAGAAGCGCTGAAGAACATTGAGAGGGTCTCTATACACCATAAAGGACAGTAACCATCAGCAGGGTGTTATTTTAGACGTGTACATTATACCCCAGGATTTTCCTGAAGCAGGGATTCTCCCAAAGGTCCTCAAGTGCAGGGGTTTTGAAGGGGTTCCATATATATACTCATCCGGGAGTCAGTAGAGGAATTCCGCGATTATGGCACTTGGGTTGTTTGGGTAGCCTAAAAGTGTTTTCCTTGGGCACTGCTGAGTTGGCCCACGTGAGTTGTTTTCCTTATAAGCAGCTCTTTGGTGTAAAGAGGATTTCCGTGATGAAGATGATGGGAGCTTTATTTCTGATTTATTCCTGTCATGCAGCGAAACCCGTACGTGTGTCACAGCATAAAAGCAGCAACCCCATCGGGGACAAACATTTATGAGTGCTCTTTTTTTTCGTGGTCAGCGGATTATACGGAGAAGGCTTCTTCGGATAGGTCACCGTTTCTACTTTTTGTTCGTTCTTTTTTAAATGAAAAAAGGCAACATTTTTATTTGATGGACTTCTGAGGAAGTTCTTCGCCCTTCGTCTGTTCTTGGACCATGAGAGTACCACAAAATTGGGCGAAAACTTTCAACGACTAAAATTGCATATGTCGCAAACGGATTATAATTTCGGGAGAGAAACTGTAGTCCTTGACTGAAAAAAATACTTCCCCAGTAACACATACACTATATGTTTTTTTATTGGAAGAAAAAAAGCCAAAAGCAGTTATGGGTGGGTAAACATATTAAAGAAGTTTAGTAACGTCACGTGTCATGCCGAGTAATTCGAGAGAAATCTTCAACTTTCAGCAAATTTTGCGGAGATGAATTCCTTCAAATTTATTAAAGCAGGAAATATGGCAAATTGCAATATAAAACAAGAAGAAAAAAATACTGAATTTAGGTATAGAAATTATGGGGTGGGGCTCCATAATTGAACCTGGGCATCATTGATTAGGGTCTTTGATCCTTCAAAGCTTTTAAAAAATGACTTGGATGTCTGAAAATGTGTGCGAACAACCACCAAGTTATGTATCGAGTACCCACAAAACATTCAAATCTTATTAAGCTTTTGATTGGATCAAAAGCAAATCAATCAATAGAAAAGCAAATGGCAACTGCATTTCTTCAAAAAGTAAGAAAAGCAAATCGCAACTATATTGTTTTTAAGCAAATTTAATTCCTACACATACGTATGCTGCAGGTGTGGAAATTTACATACAACTGTTGGCAGGACACCTGTCAAAAAGTAATTTGGAAAACATTTAATTTGGGAATTGAATTGTGTTGTTCAGTCGCGGTTCAATGAGGCTAGCATTTGTAATTTATCTAATTTCCTACACATACTCTATACATATAGATATAATGCCAACTATTGACACAGCCATTTTTCAAAAATAAAATTGACTGTATTTAATTTAGGAACTAGATTCTGCGGTTCACGCGATTTTATTATGCTGAAAAAAATTTCATATTCATTTTTTAACCCGTGAGAAACAAATACTGTGAATATAGGCCGGATCACCATGCTTTAGCTCACGTTTTTTAAGGATATTTGCGATCTAAGTGCATTCGAATAAAACCGAGGGTTGCCCTAGTTAGGCGTGGCTTCAAAAATGTCTAGTGTAGGTGGGTAGAGGAAACATTTTGGCATAGCCCGTGACGTTTTAATTCTTGTGGATCTCTTCAATGAAAAACGAATAAATTTACTGCAAGATGATAAGTTACAACTTTCCAGTTACAGCTAGACGAGTTCTCCACCTGTGTCATACGGTGCTAACAATTTGTCGGGCCAGCTAAAAATGTAAATAGCTTTGTTGTTTTAACCTTTAAAGTATCTAAAATGTAGAAAAGATAATGGTTAAAACAACAGAAAAATTTTCAATTTTGTTTTAAGCTGGCCTGACAAATGTTTAGTACCCTGTGACATAGGTAGATATTAACTGGATAGTTTTAACTTGGCATTAATGTGAAGTATATTGACAAGCTTCTCTTTAAATTAAAGAAACTCCCAGAACCTTAGAACATCATGGGCTATGCCACAAATTTTTCCTACGATCACAGCTGCTCCAGAAATATTAGAAGCCGCGTCCAACTGGGACAACCCTCGAATATCCAACACTTTCCGCCACCATCTGCCTGGAAACTCTACCAACTGTTTGTTTTCTATACCCGTGTATAAGAATGTGAGCAATGTTGACACAAGAGCGGACGAGCATTGCGGGTCATCCGAAACAACGAACGAAGCTTTTAATGAAAAGCTTTCCTCGGGGAAAAAAATAAAATAAACTGACCTGATGTCAGGGCTTCGACGAAGTAGCAAGAAAACAATCCGCAGCAACAGCTACTACAGGCCACTTCCCAGATGAGACCCCGGAACTGCAAATGCGTGACAACTGACAAGTGACTGCTGGACAGCACTGATTGAACTTGCTGTGAGTGAGCGTCCAACGCACACACACACACACAGAAGTGCAATGGGAATTAAATTCAAGAAATAGGTTCGGTGGCAAAAGGGGCAGAAAACGGCGAATTTCGCAGCAAACGGAGCGACGAAGGGTGAGAAAAAAAAATCACCAACGTCGTTTGCAGCAAAAACCCCCGGACTGAAGCCCCGGCCGGGGTCCGAGCCCGGGTTTTATGGTTCGGCCGACTCGACTCGACCTGAAGGCAGAGATGGAACCTTGCGCGGGAGGAAAAAAAAAAAAGAAAGAGACAAGGGGCACAAAAGGGGGTATTTCTCTGTGAACACCCAGCAAACCCACCCACCCACTGCTATACAGCGGCAACTCACCATAGAGCAGGACGCATACCAACTCTTCTGGAATGTCCCCCGACGGGTTGCCCGAAGCTAGCATGTTGAACAGCTTCATGCTTGTGTATTTACAGCATGGGTTCCTATATCAGGCATAGTTTGCATTTTTCTGCCACGCAAACAAAACAGAATTTGCGTATTTACTCCAGGACCAGGCGCACCTTTTTTTCCAGATGAATTTGAGCCGGAAAAACAGGGTGAGTGGTACTCATGGGGGATAAATTTTTCGAGAATCCCCAAAATCAATGCCCCTTACAAATGAAAGTTTCAAAGCAAAAAATATATGAAGAAGAAATGTGTGGCACCAAGTTCCATTGTCCATGGGAAATAATGGTTCAAGCAATAACAATTTTCGGAATACATCAATTATAGATACAACAGGAAGCAACAGAAGGAGAAAATATTCAGGTAATTCACTGTATGGGTCAGGACCTCATACAGAAACAAGCTGAAGACCTTGTGCTTTAAATTAATGTTTACACATACTTTGTTTCCAATGTCAGGGAATGAATGGGTGTTTGCATACATGTAAGATATCCAGTTGTATTTCATGGATTGTATTTTCTTTTATTTTTGTTATCAATTTGTGCTTTTCTGCTCTGAAGTGATTAAATGTTGTTGAGTGGATTTGGGCTGGGTGGGAAGGGGGTTTGGTTGTGGAAATCTTGAATGAACCTTGTGAACACTGAAAAGTAGCAAATAAAGTGTTCTGCTCATTCATTCATTCATTCAGGAAGTTTCCCTGTATTGCAAGGACATTTTAACTGCTCCTTCAAACAGTCAAGATTACATGAAAGACAAGACCGCTATGGTAACAATGGAACCACACACAAAAATATTTCACAAAATTCTTGATTTTTGGCAACAACAAAAAACCGGGGTCTGGGTATTACAGTGGGATAGGTTTCTAGGCAAATTTCTTCCCCCAGAAATTGGGGTGCGTGCCTTTCATGAGGACGCAATGTACTCCAGTACTTTAAAGATACTGTAGTATACCAGGATGTATAGGGACTTTCCGGGAGTTCTTCTTGTCAGCCCTGAATAACAAGAGGTTTGCAGGTTACAACAATACTTGAGAAAATTTTGTAAAATTAAATCCTTGTTGTACTTCACCTCACGTTGGATGAACATTTTTGAATCGCGTTCTTGATTTCATGAAAGGTGTGGTGGGTCCTTATAGACCACACAACAAAGATTTGGTTTATAGTGAAATAAACTTGATGAGCACAATTGGCTGTTTGTGGCCTGAGGGTTCCAAACTCCTCAACATCTGTTTATAAGTCCAAGTCCACAAATATTTCCAACCAAAATATGTCACACACAAGAAGTAGGTCTTTTCTCTCCAAGGTTCAAAGCAGGATTGATTGATTGATTCTTCTGATGATTTCTCACAGGTCCAGGTCCTCCCCAGTGGAAAGCTTCCCCAAGGTTTTCACTGGGGTGTGACTAATTTTCTGTTTGTAAATTTCTCAATAAATCCTTTCATCAAGTGGTAATTCACTTGATGGAATATTTTCCTGAAGATCAATATCTTCAGTTTTGTGTTTGTAGTTATTAAAAATATTTTTTTATATTTGTAGACTTCTTCTCAAATTTGTTTTTTTGTATGACGTACGGTGCATTGTGCTTTTTGTGTGGTGCTGTTCCCTGCACTGCAGGCAACACCTAGTTGACCTGCAACAAAAGGCAGCATACCTCAAAATGAAACGAAAACAAAAATGTTGGGTCATTCAAATCTACAGGAATATGTACACTGGGTTGCTTTTTTCAATAATAATTTTCAATAATAAAATATTTATTTAAAGAATTTAATAATTTAAAAATTATTTCTTAAATAATAATAATACTTTCTCATTTATTTCAAAAATTTTCAATAATAAAATTCCAACTTGTGCAAATCTCCATAGATTCGCACAAAGAAAAAATATGGACTTTTTTGCGTCATCTACCTTTTCTGAAAAACCCATACACTATTCATCAGAGAAAAACTTATTCACGTAAACAGTTAAGGTATGAAATCATGGAGATAGCGTGCAACGCTCTCTGGAACCCAGAACAAATCTCTGCTGCATAAGCTATCAATCTCAGAAATTACGGGCATTCAGGCCCGTCTCAAACACATGGATCAGTACAATTTCACTGTTCAGGGAATTCTTCGCAATTTTTCTGAATCACATGCCTGACAATTCAAATACAGTATCATCAAGAAAGAAAAGGGAAAAGCTCACGAACGGTCGATTTTTTTGCTCCCATCGCATCGCTCAATTATGTGCGTCTCAAGATTATCATATATGAAGTCAACTCTTCCTCTATTAGCTCATCTTTCAAGTATTCCGAATGTTTATCAGTGGCTGAATGACGATAACCCACGTTAATTAAGTACTATACCTTGTTTCAAGCCTCAGCAGGTCCAAGCTACGCGAAGAAAATAATTTCTAGTTAGCTCATTATATAGAAACCTCCTGAATACTGTAATCATCAATATAATGAATCAAGTGGCACGTACTGATTTCCCTCCTGATGCGAATAGATATCAGCATCCAGAAATTGATAATTCATAAAACGAGCAACAAAAGTAATGATTCAGAATGCCAATCTTCGACGGGTATTTTCTCAAACGGAAAAGACTTCCTGCTCTGGAAGTTCCTCGTTTACTACGCCGTTAACAGTTTTTACTCAGTTAATCCCAGTCTTACGCGATTAATGAAGGTCATTCATCTTCGGTTTACGATTAATTACAGTTAATTTTCTACCCAAGTAAGCATTGAATTCATAGGATGAATGGGTTCAAGGGCTGTGTATAAATTCGCGTTGTTGAGGAAAAGACCCGAAAAACACAACAAAAATCATCGCATTGTCGTTATAATTTCTCGCATATTCACCTCAGCTTGGTACTCCTTCGTGTGTCAGTGGAATTTTTAAATTAAATGATAATTTAAGTCATGAGGGATTGTCAGACTTCCGAAAGCATTCCAGCAGTGCATTACAGTTATACTGTACAAGCAAAGTACACTATAGTATTTCATTTCTAAGTCGGACTTGCTGAATATTCTCATTGCAGAGTATTCTATGAATTGTTGGCGTCTTTTGCCTTATATTTTCTTCAAAATTGAGCTAAAATACAGTATTGCAACATCAAACCATTGGTACTCGTAAAAATCCTTTGTTTCAAAAATATGCTGTAATGAGGCTCGAAACGAAAAAACATCTTGACTATATATCACCCGAACCTTTTGGGTACTTTCTTCGAAAACCATAGTTTTTTTTACAAAAAGATAAATTTTAGTGAGATTCTTCTCAACTAAACAACTACTAAGTTCTCAGCAGTTCCAACGATGTTCAGCACAGTGGGAGTAACTAAAAAAATTGATGTCTTACGGTATTTTGGGTAAACTTAATGAATATGACTTGAGGTTTTTGGAACCAGAGATTGAAAAATCTCTTTGTGAAAATCTCTCTTATCTCTTTTTTTTATGTTTAAAAGATCTTTCACTTAGACCCCCCATCTCTCTCTCTCTCTCTCTTTCTTTCTCTCCAGTTCCTCACAAACATATTTTAATTAGGAAATGAAGCATGGAAGTTCAAATAATTTTTTGTTATTGAAGGAATCATGTTGGGAAACGAGCCTTTCTTGAATTTGCCGATCCCATTCCGCTGGCGGAAATTTTCAGAAACGACTGAATCCGGCAAGAAAAAGAATGAAGTCAACAGAAACGCCACCAGCAACAGCAACCAAGATGATGACGAGTACGGAGATGTTTTAGAGCTCGACTGCGACTTACGAGGCTTACATCTGACTCAACCCAGGTTCTTTCCTTGCATTACTTTTTCCTGCAGAAAAAAAAGCAACTTCTTGATAATTCATTTCGTTGAGAGCAAAAACGGGTTCCGCGTGTTCCTCAGGTGCGAAGCTGGGTCACAAGGCGTGCAGAGAGCAGTTCCCGCGAAAATGCACACCACAACCCCGTGCATTCATAGCCTGGAGCTGAGTGACATCGCAAAAAGACCAGTTTATTTGAAACTTGAGAATTGCCAGGCGACGGGGTCATTCAAGGATCGTGGCATCGGGCATTGCATCAAACAAGTCAGTTGAAAACATTCTATATTCCTGTTAGTTCATCAATTTAGATTGAAAAAATAATAATCATTTTTCCTTCAGCTTCACGTATTTTGGCTCTAGTTTGATTCAGCCTGACCCACCAAACAGGTTTTGTTTTTCAGCAGCGACATCTAAGAGAGGATAATGAACTGCTTTCCACCATCTTCGTACCTTTCACTGCATGGCATATAACAGCATAAGAGCATAACCTCCTCCGCTATGAACAACAATATTAAGGATGAACCAACAGCAACTAGTCCCAACCTGACAAAAGATTGCAACTAAAGTATGACTGGTCTATAACATCCCGTACAAAAGCTGACCTATTGAAACTTGTCACATTAAGCATTGTTGCTTTACCTCCGGTAACACTGCGACACCGACGTCACAAACAATAATCTATCTCACCGCCTAAAAGCGTCTCATCTGCAAAAAATTACGAATGGCACCTGAAATGGCTAAAACTGCTTTTTTTCTCGTCATCAAAAGGTTTCAGTCATACATCAATCCTTCGTGTTGGGAGAGAAATGAAAGTAGAAAGTTCTGGGATGCATTAATTCGAAGAGCAATTAAAGGAAAATACCTTGCTGCTTTCGTGTTCAACGTGTTAAATTTTCTCCCTCGCTTCATTTTCACGGAAAACTTGAAAAAAAAATAGAAATTATATCATCGAATACATCCTATATTAAAACCCACTAAAGCGCTATACTTGAACAGCGCAACGAAGCTGAAAGCCTGGATTTTTTTCCTTGACGATAACTTCAAGGCTGTCCAACACCCTTAGAGCTATACACAATAATTTGAAACACGCAATGCTTTGAGATTTTAAGATAAAACAATTGGACCAGGTGGGCTTAACAACATGAAGAGAAATAGGAGTAATTAGAAGCACAAATGCATCAACTGGAAAGTCTTTTTCTTTTCTCCTGACTTAAAGGTTTTCCAGAAGGACCCTATATAAGAATACTTTGAGAGGCAAGCACTCGTATGATGAAACAAATCAAATATATTTGGTATTTCAAATGAATAACTGAGGCTAGAAGTTAGTTATAGAAATCACAATCGGAGAAATTAAAAGAAACCATGTATCAGCTAAAATAATATTTCTCATACTTCTAAAACTATGAATTGAAGGTTTTTCAGCAGAGGTTCCTATATACCTGTATACATCAGGGAAGCCAAAAAAGTGCACCAATTTTTGACTTGGAATAACTCGGTAGCAAATTGAGCTGTGACAATGAAATATTTAATTATTTTTCAAATGGTATGCAATTGTATGGTCCCAAGTGTTACAAAATGGTCACAAGAACCATTTGAATGAAAAAGTACCACAAAAAGGTTGTCAGGCAACTTGTTCCACTAAGCTGCTGTTCTGGAGAGCTGTCTGTTTGCATGAATAAAGGAAATGCATATATGAATATGGGAAATTGTGCAGGCTCTTCAAGACAGCAGGACATTTTTGGTCAACTTATTGCATCCTGCATTTCCTTTATTCATACAAACAGCTCTCCAGAACCTCAGCTTATTGAAAAAAGTCACCTGACAACTTTTTTTTTTGGAAAGTTTTCATTAAATTGTTTTTGTGACCATTTTGTGACACTTGGGACAATACAATTACATACCATTTGAAAGAAAATTAAATAAGCTTTCATTTGGGGCTTTTTTATTGCCACAGCTTAATTTTCTACCAAGTTATTTCAAGTAAAAAATCGGTTCACTTTTTTCTTGGCTCACCCTGTATAAGAATACTCTGAGAAAGAAGCAATAATATGATGAAACAGATCAAATATCCAAGTACGGTATCTGGAATTTAATGAAAAAATTAGGAAATAAAAACATAATGAATTTGAGCTGCTGATGTGGGTTATAGAAAGCTATATATCAGAGTATTTAATTAGAAGAACCAATTCATCAGCTGAAAAATATATTTCTTGCTCCTAACATGCAGGCTTCCCATAGAGGGGCCCTATGTAATAATACCCCAAGAAAGAAGCAATAATGTAATGAGAAAGATCTAATAGTATTTGGGATTCCAAAATAAGGAGAAGAAAAGAAAACACAAAATGAATTGTCGGCTGTGGATTATAGAAAGCATTCGGAGTAATTAAAAGCAATGCATCAGCTGATAATTTTTCATCTCCTCGCTTCTGAGTTGAAGACTTTCCAGAGGGTCCATTCATATTAATACCCTGAGAATAAGTCAATCATATGATGAAACAGATCAAACGTATTTGGAATTTTAAAAAAGGAAGAACGATCAAAATGAATTTGTGGGCTGTCAATTATATATCAAACAACATCGAAGTAATTAATAGAAGGAGCAATGCATCAGTTGAAAAGTAATTTTCCTTGCTCCTAACTTGAAAGCTTTCCAGAGGAGTCCCATGTAAGAATACCCTCGCGAAAAGCAAACAATAATATGTGCTACAACAGATCAAATATATTTGGAATTCCAAAAAAACAAACAAAAAAGAATTGGTGGCTGTGCGTTATATATAGAAGGCAATATATCGGAGTAATTAGAAGAAGCAATGCATCAACTGAAACGTATTTCTCTCTGTGCTTCTTTCTGACTTGAAGGCCTTCCTGAGGGGCCATACGAGAGTGATTGCTATATCGGCGGGCAATGCTGGGCTGGCAGCTGCCCACGCAGCCACTACCCTCGGAATGCCCGTCTCCGTCGTCGTGCCATCAACCACTCTCAATCTCCTGGTGTCACGACTCAAGCGAGAAGGGGCCGACGTTATGGTCAGTATTTTATTTACCCTCTTGGCCTACATGAGGTCCTTGTTTTTCTTCAATAGCGAAGGTAGTGTATCTTATATGTGGTTGTACTGTATGTATGTACAGTGAGACCCCCACATCATGCGGACAGCTCAACATGCGGACAATTCAACATAGGGACATTTATTAAAAAATAAAGTACAAAATGGCCCAACATACAGACACTGACTTGACATGAGGACATTGAATGATACAATTGTCAATAAATTCCAAGAAAATAGACTTTTATTAAGCTTAATTGCAAGGAACAAATATTTCCAACTCTAAGATCTGGGCAAAAAAAATTGTGTTTCTCCCATCATTTTCCCATCCATTCAGCTGATTTGAAAAAATTACCAATAGCATAGAGGGACTTCCTTCTCTCTTTGGGACTTGAATGTTATTTTTACAGATCCCAACATTTCAATGTACTGCACAGAGGTACACTATTCTATTGAATGTTATTAAGTTCAAAATATATTCACTGAATCAAATTCAAGTGGCAAAAAAAATTCTCATGGAATTCTGAAGAATATTTCTTCCATGAAGCACCAATTAAAATTTATATAATGTAAGTGTATGGGAAAACAAGACTCAGCTTAGGGACATTTTGACTTGAGGACTCTCTTGATGCAGCAATTATGTCCACATCTGTGGGTCTCACTTTGTACAGAAGCTCTAATAACACGCAAGAGGCTCTTGTTGGGGAGGTTTTGTAAGTATCAGGGTTGGTTCATATAAGGTTTGAGACTCTTTTGAAATACTGTAGATCCAATGGAGTTTAAACAATTCCAATTTTTTTTTTTTACTCGCGTAGCCTCATTTAAGCAGCTCGATGGAAAATAGTCTCATACTGTACGTCATTTTAGACTCTTTTTTGCTCCTGTAGCAAGAATCCGAGGAAAATTGAAATTTATGTGAATCCTTGCTGAAAGAATTCTCTCAGGTGAATGCTACTCTCAGGTAAATCTGATATTTTCAAGGTTTTCTCTGCTTTTATTTGATTTGTCATCCTCCGGACTTTAAAGTGGTCATAACCGTAATCTGCTGTAGGCGGAAAAATCGCCTTCTCGAGCAATCCTCTCGCTATTTTCTCACATACATTTGTGTGTGGTGAGCCTGCGATTTAGACGATCACGCACATTCAAAAAATTGCATATATTTTCTGGATTAATACACACGGAAATCTCAGATTTTGATTTTTCAAGAACTATGATACTATATTACTGAAAAGAACTGAAATTATTCAAAGATAAGAGTAACTTTTTAATGTAGTGACAAATCGCCATGCAGTAACAGCTATTGATCAGAAGAACTCAAAGGAAATGCCGTTACAAACATTTAAAAAAATGAATGAAAATTACAATGAAATGTACATCGGACGGAAGAGAATCGAGGCACATACGAAAATTATGCACCTCTTTCTGTGCTACTATTTTCTATAAATGATAAGAAAACAGTAAAATAAATGAAAATGCATTCGGATTGTCAGCTTCGGCGAGTTTCGCTGTCCGAGTTGTATAGGGGGAACGCTGTACTGTACTGTAGTCGAGAGATTGCAGCACCAAAGTTGCCTGAATCTCTCTAAAAAAAAAAGGCTAAAAGAAAAAAATCCATTCGTGGTTTGAGTATACTGTATATATATACTGTATAGCAAGCATGTAAAAACTTTCCATCTACTAGCCATTATGCATACTACGGTATATATGGGGAAACTGCCGGATATAAATAGTACAGCATTGGCAAGAAGGTGTGGACGGGGTCACGCGTAAATTATCAGCATAGCACCGTGGTTTTCGCCTTGATCCCCGTAGTGGCGTCGCATGCATGCCCCGCCTGGTATCAGCCACGAGCCAGGAGGGCGTGAAATTGCCTTTTTCCCGGACGCCGGGGACTGGAGTGATGGATTTCGGCGCCCTTGTCACACATGTGCACCCAGCATCCCCTTTATTCGGGGTAGGCAAAGCGAGAACCAAAGATAAATGCTCGAAATATTTTGTGACAAAACTGGAGTACAGTACTGTACGTGAAAGTCTCGAGTTATTGTGCTGATGGTCGAGAGATGGCCTGAACCAGAGCGAACTTCATTATATCGATGGGACCTAGTTATGTAATCTGTGGTCCGCAGACCGGCGCCGGTCCTCGGAAGTGTTTTGCGGGTCAGCGAGGAATTTTTTTTTAGCATAATAACTTCAAAAGCAGTAATGAAGTCTCCTATCTTTAAAAAAAAAATTGGGGAAAACTAGGACAGCAGTTATTGACGAAATAAATGAAAAGTTTTTTGTTTTTCTCCTGATGATGCTTCAGGCGAATTTTCACCTGCTGTAATAATTATTTCAATGTGTCATTCAGAGAAATCTTTCATCGTAAGCCGACCTCTAATTTTGAGAGACATTCCATTGCAAGAAAGCAGAAACTTAAATACCTGCCATAAAGGTTTTCAAGCAAAACTTTTTAGAGTCTGCAAAAAATTTTTAACACTTTGCCAGTCAGCAGAAAATTTTTTTTTAAGTTCGCCAGTCCGCAAAAATGTTATGGAAATTTGCTGGTCCACTTGCCCAAAAGGAAGGGAAATACAGGGCAGGTGCAAGTCTATTTTTGACGGAGACTGAAGAATTTATTCAATTACAACCCTGATTATTAATCTATCGTGATCATCAGATTTAATCAATCCGAACATTCCTTGGTCTGATTTTGAAAGAGTTGATTTTGAAACTCGGAAGACGTCCTATGGAATGATTATTTAAAAACACTGTTGCACTACAATTTTTCTTAAAGGTCCCCGGCAAGGTTATTGTGGTGGAATTCCAGTTATAACTGCACTTGATTATTCAGTGGAATTGTAGCTGTTTTCAAGGCAAGTAATTAGTAAAAATGCTAACCTTTTTGTGCGTATGATCGAAGCGCTTTCAAAATCACCTTGAAAAAAGATCTGCCTCTTGAGTGTTCGATGCTCATTCTGCTGAAAAAGGTTGCACACCTCTGGTGCCGAACACGCACAATACTAGTGCAACATTCCGAAATTTCGAACGAAAGCAGAGGATGAATCAGATTTGTGGATACAAAAAGGGATATGTAGCAGGTATAACTGCAGCGAGAGGATTATTGAACCGTGGTCGTGAACTCGTGACCGAAAATCTTTCTCGTTGATACACTATGTATAACGAGGACTTCGTAAAAATAAATTGAACTCAGAATAACATAGAAGTATATTCGCTGAATAAAATTTTAGAAAACTGTCCTGGGATTTTTATTAGTGTATCTTGACGCTTGATTTTGTGTGTACTGTAATATACAGGTTCATGGAGACACGTTGAAACAATCAACTGTTTTCGGCACTGAAATGGCAGCGGCAAATGACGCTTTTCTCGCACATCCCTACGATCATCCCGACATCTGGTGAATTTTTCGATTGAAATTATATTGATGCAAGTTTATTTGTGCGTTCGAATCTAATTATCTTTAATTCTTCCGGGATTGACCATCAGAAAGATGGAGGTGATTTCTTTCTGATCAGCAGTTTCAGCACCTATGTGCGACTAAAGCAGAAAGCATTGACTCATCGCGGCTAAAAAACGATTGAGAAAATGCATGTTTTTAGTTTTTTTTTGCAAAATAATTTTTTATAGGGATGGCCGAAAAGATACTCTTAATTGTTTCATCTCTTGCTTAAGCACTTTCGTAGTCTGGGGAATACTGTATTCCCATGAGTCCAAATTTACCTACAGACATACATCTTGACTGAAGCTTTACTTTTCAGTTTTTTGTGGTTGTGGGATGATTCGTGAAAATAATAGGAAAACGTTCTTCATAAAGTTGTCAACGAAGGACACATTTTTGATTGAGGTGCAGAAGTTATTTGTTCACGCTTACGATTTATTTTTCAGGTTGAATGAAAATGTTATTATATGTGAATGCTAATCTCTTCAAAAAATCAAGTACTGAAGTCAACATATAATTTACTGACGGAGGCAACGAAAATAATTTTAAAAATCCCACATCGATGAAATAAACAATGGAATAGAAAACGCCTTCTGGAAATATTTTTTTCAATGTTGAATCCGTATTCCTTCTTACAGTACATGCAGTGATCCTCATTTATCCTCTGGCCAGGACAGAATTGAAGCTGCTGCTGGATTTTTTTCTTCTGGTAGATTACTATAAAACTTAGGAGATAAATTCTAACTGTAGATAAGTTGAAAAAAATTTTCCAACAAGGTAATGGAATTACTTTTTCAGTACACTTAATTCTTGGCAAATTGGCGACGATTCGATTTCTGTAAGGCGTTCTTAGACTCTTCTATATATGCCTATATAGGTGATTAAATCACATTTCTGGTTCAGTTGAAATAGATCTTTAGCTCCGTTTTATAAATATTTTGTATGCTCACTGGGGATCAATTTTCTTGGCTAGGGAAGGTCACGCCACGCTGGTCGAGGAGCTCAAGGAGCAGTTGCCAACACGACCCGCTGTGATCGTGACGGCCGTCGGAGGCGGCGGTCTCATCAAGGGCGTCCTTTTAGGTCTGGAAAAGGTCGGCTGGGCAGACAGTGTCGCCACTGTCGGCATGGAGACTGAGGGCACTGCCTGCTTCAACGCCAGCAAGAAAGCTGGAAAGATTGTCAGTCTGCCCGAGGGTGCTATGAAAAGGTAATACTCGGTTTTAGACTTACAAAGAGATATACTATAGTTGTTTCAAATTCGAGTGAAATCGAATTTCTTGAGAAAAAGCAATCTTGTGGAATCATATAGAGTGCTGTCACAATATACCTGTGCACCCATATTGAGAAGCGTACAATGAGTATATCTTCACATTATCCATTATCTTGGGCACGATGAAATATTGACACCTCAGTCAACTGCAATGATTGCATGCGAGGAATTTCACGAGAAGCAAAAGCCTCCACAAAATATCAGATTTTAATGGAAACTATTGCATTATTTTCAAAACATATTCTCAAAAGCCTAAAAAATATTTTTAATAAGATGAAGAGTTTTCTCATACACACATGTGAAAAAGAAAAGCATCTTCCTTAAACATTTCCGCTCTTAAAAATGCATTTTAAATTGCATTTTAAATTTTGTACTCGATTTGAAGAATGAACTTTCGAAACTAATTCTATTCTGCTATTTTTGTCTGTTTGCAGCATCGCAAGATCTATTGCAGTACACAGACCTGCAGCGGCTTTGGAGAACGACCTGAAGAACCCATTGGTGTTTTCCGATGTGGTTTCGGACACCCAGGCCGTTCATGCATTGTGTCGATTTGCAGGTGATACATCGGTTTATTTTTTGCTATTTAAAAATCCTCCATGAAATCTTGTGTGACACTACAAATTGAGTTCCTGTGAAATGTCGTAGTAATACATTAATTTTTCGCCGCTGAATTCATTTTTTTCTACCTCTTCGCTGGAACGAAAAAAATTGTCATTACAAGAACATTATTGGCCTCATTTTTGATATCAACATTGAACACTTTCTCAAAATTTCCTTGTTCAAACTGTAAAGCGACGACATTTTTCTTCTTATGTCGCTGGTTTTTCTCTCATTATTTTCTCACATTGCAAAAAAAATGCTACCTTTGTTTTTCAGATGATCAGATTCCTAGTGGAACAGCAGCAGACAGCTGAAATTTTTTCTAGTTCCTTAAAAAATTTTCAGTACAAGAACAGAATTGGCCTCATTTTTGATTTCAACATTGAACACTTTCTCAAAGTTTACTTTTTCAAACTATAGAGCGACGGAATTTTTTTTATTTGTGTCGCTCGTCCCCCCCGTACCCCCACCCATTATTATCTCACAGTGCAAAAACAAAAAATGCTACCTTTATTTTTCAGATGATCACAGATTCCTAGTGGAACCAGCAGCAGGAGCAGCATTGGCCTTTGTCTACTCGGGTCTGGTGCACAACCTGATTAAGAACCGGGCCATTCCCTGGACCCCGGAGTCGCCCGTCGTCATCGTCGTTTGCGGAGGGAATTCCGTGACCCTCGACCTAATCGACGAATGGAAACGACGCTTCCTCTCAAACAACAACAATGGAGTCAACAACAACGACAAGCACTGATTTATGTGTACTGTCATTCATGCTTATTTTTCTCGTTCTTCCGAGCACTATATATATATTTATGAGTATATATATAGCCGCAGAAGAGAGTATAGTGTGTAAACTGACGGATTGTGGAAGAAATATATGAAAAGGACTGTGTTGCGTTCCTTCCCAGAGTCTTATCAATTATTTTCTTTTTATTCTTGTTTTGAAGTCGATTTGAGCGTGAACGGTGAACGTGTTAAGATTTCCCCTAACCAAAGAGCATTTATGAGTTAAACACCACAATTAGTGTGGGACTGGCTTGGAGCCTCTATATTCTCCAAGAAATTATTATTCACTTGTCGATTCTCAGCATCTTCAAGAAAATTACGCACGCACACACAATAATTAACACAATTTCTCAGAGAATGGGTTCAAGCAGGGGAAGCTAAAAATGGGAATGAGATTCTGAATTAGAAAGAGCGG